AAAGAAAAAGAAAAACTTTCAAATATGGCAAAATGGGATGTCAATCATCTTAGTGTAAAAATTTCACTATGGAGAGTACTTGAAGAAACACTTTTGTGAGATTTAGAGTGACAAATACAAACCATGCCACGTAGTTACTGACTTACACCTGTATAACGTGCACAGACGGCATGCTCCTTCTCATCATACCCATGCACAAATTAATGTTTGTACGAGATACCTGCGAGGTCAGATAATTCTGTATCAGTAGCACTTGTCAAAGCTTCTTCTAATTCTGGATCGAGAGATACATTTTCTTCTGTCAAAGTCTGTACAGGCTTCTGTTTGGGGATAAATATTTTCCCTGTAAAATAAAATACATCGTTAATTCACTACTATTTGGACTAACTCATTACCATTTGACTCTTTTGACAAACACTTACTAAAAGGAATTGCAACTGAAACTGAAGGAAAGGTCAAGATTACCATACACAGAAATTCTGTTTCCACAGCAATGCTTTAGCTGTACAAATAAGACAGGAAAGTGAGCCAAGTAATGTTCCCAGAGATGCACCTTTGGGGGCTGAGGATGTAACCAAGGAGTACAGAACCTTCCTGACAAGCATGAACCCTTGAGTTTAAACACCACTACTGCATAATTAGTCAATTAGTAATTCAATTATACTAGCTACATTTCAAGAGCTCATAGACATGTGGTTCGATATCTGTGTTAATCAGTATGGCAGGTAGTAGGCAGATGTAGCAGGCAGATATGTTCGTTCTCCTAGTTTTGTGAAAACCATAGTTTAGATATGGAAATATCCTTCCCAAAGGGCTCATGGGTAAAAGGCTTGTGCCCCAGCTGGCAAATCTGATCATAAGTCAATCAGAAACCTTTCTGGTTGGCTATCTTCTTATTCACAAAATGCACTTGGCCAATCCAGCTGTTGTAGAGTAAAGCAGTTTCAATGACCTATTACACAGTGTGTCCCAAGTGCTAAGGGCACCCAGCCATAACTCACAATTCTATTGTATGTGCATATAGTAACACATCATGTTGTACACCATAAAAACAGTCTGACCAGGCACCAGTGACTTACATACTAGCGACTCAAGAGGCTGAGATCTGAGGATCGCAGTTCAAAGCCAGCCTGGCAAGAAAGTCCCTGTGAAATTCTTATCTCCAACAAACTACTCCAAAAAAAGCCAGAAGTGGCTCTGTGGCTCAAGTGGTAGAGCACTAGCCTTGAGCACAAAGAGGCTCAGGGACAGCACAGGCCCTGAGTTCAAACCCAACCAACAACAACAATAACAACAACAACAAAAAAAACCAGGTCTGGTAATGTGGCTTAGTGGTAGAGTGCTTGCCTAGCATGCATGAAGCCCTGGGTTCAATTCCTTAGTACCACATACACAGAAAAAGCCAGAAGTGGCTCTGTGGCTCAAGTGGTAGAGAGCTAGCCTTGAGCAAAAGGAAGCTCAGGGACAGCCCTCAGGCCCTGAGTTCAAGCCCTAGGACTGGCAATAAAAAAAACAAACAAAAAATCCATAGTCTGAACTTGCCAATTAAAAAAAAGCCATCAGAAGCAAAACCATACAAACTATCAAGTAGCTGCCCATATCTTACTAGAAGGATGGAAAGAATCTAAAGCATTATAAAAATCTAAGATGTTTATTTTTCTAATCCTCACCCACATATCTTAAGAGGCATTATTTGTATCTAATTTTTCACCATCC